TACTTGTAAGTGTTAAAAAAAGGTGGAAAGAAAAACGAAAAAGGAAAGAAATGGAGCGAGCGTTCAATGTGCCCGCGACCGGCATTGATTTTTAAACGATATATATTATTATTATTAATGAGTAAGGAGAGAAAGAGGTAAAATTAAAAGTTGTATAGTAAACCTTTTCATTAAATATATTGTCCGTAATGATCTTTACAACGAAATTCACCGTTTTTTCGAAACAAGTTTTGGCGACGAGAGCGAACTTTTTTTATTTAAACGAGATTTAAAAGAAAAAAAATCACGAAAAACGTAAAAACAAAATCCTTGAACCCGACTGATAAATCTGTACACTCGCAAAAACTATCGATCGTTGAAACCTGAGGCGTCGCCGACGCAAGCTTGCTCGTTTATTTATTTTGCGTGCCGGAACAAAAAAAAAATGAACAAAATTGTAAATGAGACTTTTGAGTCGAAGACGCCTCAGACAGAGAATAACAGTCTTCAGTATCTTCGATGAGCAGTTATAATAGCAATTAAACTATTCTACATTTATCTATAACCTATAATAAACTGTGAAACAAGTGTAAAATAGGATGGTTTTTATTGCCCTTTGAAGAACTTCTATAATTGCATGTATCCAAAGTAAAGTATACACATGGTCCATTTCATTTAGTGTCGCTTAAGTTAATCTCATTTGTATTTATTTCACTATAGACTCCATGACATTTATAAACGTTTCTAATTCGTCTTTGTTCAATTCTAATCCCAATATACGTTTTCTATCCTTATTCTCAACCATGAGGTCCAACTGAAGCAGTGGTTCCCTCAATGAAGCAAGTTTACTTGATCCCATTACAAGCTGTTGATAACATTATAATCAGTACATAAGTATCCAAGTAAAATAATTCTTTAGTTCATTACCTTCAATCTCCAATCAAAATCCACTAAGGTATCATTCTCTTCCTTGGAGTATTCTTTCAGTAAAGCATTTGTTAATTGTTCTCTTCGTACTTTCAAACAAGTTAATATACTTTGTTGAATATGTTCTGGTAGTTCATGGTATTCTGGAGGCATCTAAGTGAAAAATATTATTTCTTCATACAATAAAAGGAAAGGAATGTCAAGTATACCTTCTCTTCCACCAAATACAAGCAAGCAGGGTTCCTCAGTAGTGTTGATATCAATTTATATGTTTCTTCATATTCCTCTCTGCTCCAATCTATGCTATTCGCAAATTTATGGTAGGATGGACCTGGTCTACCACATATTTCATCCACACATGCATGCAACAACTATATTACATTAATTGTATTTTCATTACTTCAAAATATTAATATTAGAAATCTCATACTATACTTACTTCTTTCAAAACATGAACCTTATCTTCACTGAAGAGGTTAAGGTACAAAGGTTGTGCAGTTTCCATGATTATTTATAATACAAACAACCATCAAGCTTGTACCATACTTAACAATAACTGCTATACCTTTTTTAAACTAATTTTGCAGTTTATTACAACAGATTTTCTTCTATATCACTCTGTGCATCCCCTGAATGTTTACCATCCTTCTCTTCATGTTTAATGACAAAATGTATCATTAATTCCGCAAGTATAACAATTAACTAGTAAAAACACATGTAGATTTCGTAAATCTACTAATTTCACATTGACAATCACAGTTAATTACAATAAGTTTCTTGATATCTGACAACTAACACGCCCTGTAAATACGCAAACTATCATTCTGAGTTCTTTAATGTTTATCTACCTGTTTAAACGTCTTGCCACAAATGGCGCCACTGTCACTCCACCTACACTTCTTGATCGGTAACCTTTGTCTAACAGTTGCACCATTTTTCCACAGATGACGTCACTATCACTCCACCTACACTCACCGATCGGTAACATTTGTCTACCGGTTTCAGCGTTTTCCCACGGATGGCGCCACCATCGATCCACCTACACTACAGGATCGGTAACATTTGTCTACCGGTTTCAGCGTTTTCCCACGGATGGCGCCACCATCGATCCACCTACACTCATCGATCGGTAACAGTTGTCTACCAGTTTGAGCGTTTTCCCACGGATGGCGCCACCATCGATCCACCTACACTCATCGATCGGTAACATTTGTCTACCAGTTTGAGCGTTTTCCCACGGATGGCGCCACTAGCAAAAAATGCAAATTTTATGAAGCAAATAATTCGTGCCGGAATATACCTTATGGTATATGGTCAGAACGGCACGAATTATATGTGCCATGCAGAATTTGAAACGAATAAGTGTAATTCAACCCTTTGCACTCGAATTTCGTACAGTAAAACTATAAATCTTGATATTTAATATTATACTCATTATAATACAGCAGAGAAATATTGAAATAAAATAACTTTGTTCCTGAATGTATGTGTTTTTGTCAGGAAATATTAAAATATTTCGAATAAAAGACTTCAAGTGCAAAGGGTTAATTAATTCTAATATATATCCTGCATTATCTATTAATTGCCAGGGGAGGGCCAAAATTTGAAATGAAAAATTAATATTCATACCGCAATATCTACAAATAACCTTCATACTGTAACAGTACAAATTCAGTAAAGTAATATTTTGTAAGCAACTAATTTTTATAGTATCCCTATCAAAAAATAAAAATGCTATTTCTTTCATTTTCCTTAGTGCAAAATTTGGATGTGTGAAAAATTTAATAATCATATGGTAGTTTCCTTAAGATTCATTAAAATATCTAATATTATTCCCGCAATATTCGATCCTAGAGTTCAAAGTGTTAAAACAGTCTATCATGACATCTATCAAAAGATAGATTGAAAAATTTTTTCTCAGTTCTAAAACCTCCCCTGTCATCAAACTACACCAAAACAACAAAGCAGCCACAGTCGTTTTATCGTTTATTTTATATCGCAACATAAAATTTGTACAAATAATAATTCGTAATAATATCGTAACTATAATGGACGATAATTGATATATATGTATACATGTCGATCGGTATATATATCAATTTCAGATTTGCACGCGCCGCGCGTGCGGCCGTTCCGCACGCGCGTTGAAAAGAAAAGACGCCCATCACTCTCGTACCCGGCGCCCCACGTGCGCGGCGGGTGACGCGTTCGGCTTCCGCGTTTGGAGGAGAAACGTCCGCGAGTTGCGACGATTCCGCTCGCGGTACGGCGGAACGCGTCTATTTTCTCTATGTATTTGGTCGGTCGGTTTTCGCCGTTGAAAGACGGAGGTGCGGGGGTCGTTTCTTCGCTTCCGGAAACGATGTCCTCGTCCGAGGATCCGTTCGGTGCCACCGAGTCTCGGGAAACTGGCGGGAGAGATCCGCTCTCGGCCGTAATCTTCGTCGACCGTTCGCGTCGACGTGACGGGGAAACCAGCGAGTTCACACACGAACGAACGAACGAATCTTTCACGAGCCAGAAATAAAGACTGTCAACACTCCTCTCGACGTTCTCGGTTCGTCCTGCGAATTCTAGAGGCGCACGAATTACTCCCCCTCCGGTCCCCGCTAAGATCCCGCGGGAGCGTAAACCGATTACGATTAAAAGTGCCGTTCTCATTTAGGAATTTAAAAAGTTTCGCGAGGACGTAGATCACTGCCTCCTCGAGAGGAAGCGGCGGGAATGATTCAATTATAAATCCAATCGGAAACTTGCCGGCCGTCGCGCGATGGGGACTGTTTAAAGTGGACACGCTCGAAAGGGAGCGGCGTCCCCGAGAAATCTAATCTCCGTCTGACGTCAGGATCGGAATAATAAAAGCGCGTCGTTAAAGTCCGATCCGGCGGGACGACGACGGGTGTCGCGCGAACCCGAAACAATGGGGCACGCCGTGGGACACCGTTCGCACGCGGGATAATAGAAGCCCGCGGTTCTTTCTTGCCCGGCTGAATCCGAGAGTCCGCACACCTCTGCGGTGCAGGGGATGACATTGCAAACTGAATGGTCCCGACGGATCGGGGTCCGCCGATGCAATTGCCACGAGGATTGCCGTTCTCCTCGAACCGAAGGGATCGCGGGGAACGTTCTCGAGGACATGGTTTCGCGAACCGAACCACCGAAGTTAACTTGCTAACCGCCCTTCCCGTGGATTCGCCTGGAGACTTCTTTTTCGTCGTTGATATCAGCGAGACAAGGTCGAGATCATTAGCCCAAATTCGCCGGAGAACGCTCGCTTCAACTTGCGACACCGGTGTTTCGGATGCTGGGATGCTCAGAGTTCGAATCGAGTTCTCCGCGTACGTTAAAATTAGTAGCACCAGTAACACTGTTCAGATGATCCGTTCGACGGAAGCCGCCCGGTTAGCAGGTTAATCAGAAACAGAAACGAACAAAGAAAAGAAAGAACAAAGAACGGAAACGGTCGTTTCTCAGCGAAGAAATGAGATCACAAGTCGAAAGGAACGAACGCGTACAATCCCGGCTGGTCCTTTATCACGCTCTCTATTTCTCTCCCCCCCTCTCTCTCTCCATTAATCTCTCTCTTTCTCTTCTACAACCGTGAGGTCTACGAATCAAGAGACACGAATGTTCGGCGAACGAGTTTGTCGGTTAGGCGATGCCGTTCGCCGGGTCGGTAGAAAAATAAGAACACTTCAACGAAGGTACGCTACGTACGCGAGATTCCTAAACGCGCCGCGTTCCGATGCTACAAGGGAAACTAAGGTCGTAATGTGTGTGTGTTTGTGTTTGTCTGTGTGTGTGTGGGTGGGATAGACGCGCGGTCAGACGCGCGCGGAGCCAACAAATGAATCATTGAACGTTTAAAAGCGCAGCTATCGTTAGTTCGGGCTTGAAGAAGACGCGCGAGCCGCGCGGTTCGTAGACGCGAGACGCGGAATGGCGGCGGCGTGGGACCCCGAGGAATCCCGCGCTTTCTCTTTCTTTTTTTTCCTCCTTTTGTTATATCCCAGTCTTTCGCCGCTCGTTCCGCGCGCGAAACGAGGGGGGAACGAGTGACTGTGTTCCTTCGGCACTCCTCGGGGCCCGATCGCCGCCGTCCCGTCTCGGCTCGGCTCGTTAAGTACTGGTACGTTTACCGTTATGTACAACAGACGGACGCTCGGGACTGCTCGCCGGCCGAGCGTGAGCGCGCCCGAATCCGAGTCCTGGCCGATGCTGCGATCACGGCGCGAGGAACGCCGAGTCCGCCGCGGAATCGCGACCTTTGACCGAGGATCCGTGTAGAACGAAGAGGATTCTACGGAGAATTTAGCGATGGTTGGATTTGAAATAAAGTTAAATGGAACCTTGGGTTCCGTACAGAAGATGGAGAATTAGAGACTTCAATGAAAAATGTTTGAAATTTGAAACGTTGAATCTTGAAACGTTAAACTTTAATTCAAGATACCCGGGAATCCTTCGGCTTGCAAACTAATGGAATATTAATGCAAGGTAAACAAGTTATTACAATGGAATATCTCGCAGTTTCTAGGTTAACGACGTGCCCCGGCTTAAAACCACATTGAAATTGTGAATATATACGAACCAATTAAGAGATATTCCCCTGAAAATCAAACGAACGCGAAGAACGAACGTCCCGGCGATGAAAATCCCCGGTCAAAGTCCGGCCGGCTTCTTCGCGCCGTAAAGATGGCGGACGCGGGCCCTGCGACGCTGCCGGCCGCCGCCATCTTGCCCGAGCGCCAGGCTTATTGCTTACGTTTCTAAGCGCGTCGCGGCGCAGTCGATTTTATGGTACATACAGGGTCGTGTGCCCGGCCTGGGACCGGGGCAACACGCGGGATCGATTCGTCGCCCGAATCGGCGTCGTCGTCCACGATATAAAAGTACAAAACGCGTAACGGGTCGTCGGACGAGCGCGACCGCCACCCGGGTGTTCGCGCTCGAACTTCGACGTTCCGCGTGCTGGCTGGATCAACGCGTCAATCAGGATTCTCAGAGAAACGCCCGTAGAAACTGCCGCGACCCCCAACCGCTCCGAATTCCAGGAGTCCCCTCGTCCCCGCGTGATCGCCGCGAACGAACTCTTCCCCGGAGGATCGCGAAACTTCAGCCGAATCGGATCGCCCCGAACTTCCGACGCGATTCCGCGCGGCGGGGAATTCTCCGCGATCCAATTCGCCGAAACTCAAGATCGAGGAAACCACTTTCAGGCGCTTCATTCATTCCGCGAGGAAAACTAGAAAACGAGATGCTCGCGGTTCGAGGTCGCGGCTCGCACTGCGACTATCGATCTCTATTGGACGCACGGAACGATCGACAGAATCCTACTCACGATCCATCCGGCACGCGGAATCCATCAATCTTTCTCTAACTCTCTCTCTCTCTCTCTCTCTCGTTCTCTCTCTCTATCTCTCCCCCTCACGCGCTCTCTCTCACGCTCTCTCTCTCTCTTTCTCGAAAGTATGGCCTCTTATGGCATCGCGTCAGCCTTTATGCGAGATTCGTCAATACGGTCCGTATCGTCCCTCCATTTTCCGCGGGATACTTACAGCCTACTTAAATATAATACAACATCGAACGATATATTTCGGTCGGCGAGAAAAAACGAGTGTTCCTTTCCTCCGTCAACCCTCTCTCTCTCTGTCCCACGCCCGTCCAGCCCGTGTCGATCAACGACCGCCTAGCTGCTCCTCCTTCACAACTGCTCGGACAGAATGATCACTCGCAGGGTCTGGATCGCGTCGTTGTCCAACAGTTCCTCGGCCCTCTGCGGGGACTCGTCGTTCGGGTTCCTGGCGGACCCGTGCTCGCAGCCCTCCGCCTCCGCCCTCTCCTCCCCCGGCGCGGGGTCGTCGTCCCTGGACCCGTGGTCCTGCTTCGCGGTGCCCTCGACCTCCCTGATCGTCGACACCGAGGTCGTGGTCGTCGACGCGGTGACCGCGGTCGTGGTGGCTCTGGTGGTCGGCAGATGGGAGTCCGGCCCCTGCAGCGCCGGCGCGGCGCGCACTTTGAAGGGGAAGCTGCAACAGGTCTCCGAGTACCTGGCCACACCCTCCATCGCCTTCTCCCTCTCGCTCCTCTTCAGCGAGAACCTGGACAGCCTGCCGAGCGTCCTGGCCCTGGCCTCGCAGCCCTCCTGGAACCTGTACGAGCCGTAGCTGGAGCTGACGCTGGAGGACTCGATGCCGTCCAGGCTGCGCTCGAACGTCCGCAGCGTCTCGACCTCCAGCCGGTCGTTCCTCCTCTCCAGCGAGTCGAAC